CAGTTCCCAAAGCTGGTGGTCTTTCTTTCGGTCCCAAACGTCGCCAGACCTATGGATTGATACTTGGAACCGTTGGGTTTTCGTTATATGTCAAATGTCAAGAATGACGTATTGGTGTTCGTATCCGCTCCTGTCAGTTCCCTACATGCGGCTATTGTCCTCTCTACCACCCCCTGCCCCCGTCAAGCTCATTCGTCTTTCACTCTCTACCGACGTTCTTTTCAATCTCCTCGACACCTACCTCTTCTTGCTCAACACACCATCCCGAATATGCCATACATCCTCTGCTTGCGGAGCTAAGGCTTCTTCGTCATTCCTGATAAAACAAACGCCCCTTCTCAGAGTTGGTGTTCTCATCGAGGAAGAGCGGATCGTTCGCCATCTCATGGACCGTCCATCGATCAGTTATCTTTTGCGATTGAGCCCCATGAGGTTCGGTGTCTTCCCTGAGGAAAAAGGGTTGGATTGAGGGAGGAAATGAGATTCTGTCCCGAGAGGTGGTGTCAGGGAGGGCGAAGAATGCGGTGAAGGCGCCCGTGGAAGGGAACGTTCGTTCAGAAAGAACAGATGAAGGATATCACTCAAGGTGAGTTCATCGATGTTCTCGATTTGTTCTCTTTGCCCTTGTACTCATACTACTCTATCACAGTACGTGAAGCTCATCTGGCGAGGGGAATGTACAAGCCAAAGATCAGGCTATTGAAGGGGATTGCCTGTCATGTGTTCATGGGGACAGCCGCCTGGAGCTCGTATGACGGAACCTTTGCTACCTCTCGTCCTTCGGAAACCCCTCATGCTTTTCGCACCGTGTCTGCGACGGCGCCGTCTGTAATCTAGTAGCACCAGTCTGATCGCCAACGCCGACGCCATTGTCACCATTACCCTCCCCCACCAGCAGAATCCCCAGGGGTCGTCGTCAGTACCGGACAGTCCTGGTTCGAACTCAAGTACTCATTGTTTATGGGGCATCGCTCTTCACTTATGGTCTCTTGTTTAGTCTCCACCCCCTTGTTCGCTAGTTTCATTGTTACCCAAGTTCTTAAAACCTACTAACTCTTCCAATCTATCCCTGTTTCGCCAAGCTATTGGCCCGCACGCTTCTCTGCTATCAATCTCCGTTCATTCCCATTGGTTGATGTGCATCTCCAAACTGCCATCGTACATATTGCAAAACCCAGATAATCCAGATTCCAGAATCGACACAAAACGTTGATTATCCTCAGTTAGCTCCGAGTGAGGCAACCTTAGCGCTCATCCGGTTCCGCATGACGCCACATCAACAAGTCAGTTCATTGTCTTATAGTCCCCATTGGGTCTCTTGCACGGTCCATTATTCTATAGAAATGGATGTTCCAAGCGTCATCCGGTGCTATAAAGGGCGATTAACACGATTAGTACGTGTCTTTCTCTCCCCCTTCTGTCTCTTCTAACTGCTCGTTCTAAGATCTCAAAGTTGCTTTCAATATGAACCAACCCGTACGCCCCGTTCAAACACATCCTCAATCGACATCCACCACACCAACCCGAATAAACGTCGGCCTTCGCCTAACACGCGAACAAAAACGCGTTCTAGCTCTCCAGGCCGAACAAGTCCGCATCCTAACGTTGCTACAAGATCCCCTCAGCGATCCACTCAAACTCGGGCCCAACCGAACTGCGTGTATCCCTTGTGGCGGACGTGTCGCGCTTTCAAAGGGGAGGTTCAGGTTGGACAAGTGGGAGAAACATAAGGAGGAGTGTTTAATGGCCGTTTTGGCGCAGGAGGAGTTGGGTAAGGGGAGAGTGTTGGCTCCGTGGTTGGCTACTGCGACCCGTTGGGTGAGTAATTTTCGAATCTTCGCCTGTGCTTGCGTGCAAAGTGTTGAATCGTTGTGAATCGTGGTGTAGGAGGAAGATGTGGCCATTGATCTCGGGGAGAGATTCTGTCAAAGAGGGTTGTTCGATCCGACGATGCATTCATCCTTTCGCAAACTTGGCTTTGGGTATGGTGGCAGGCCCTGCAAGACGAAGTCGCAACTTGAAGAATCCACGTCTAGCTTGGGGTCGAACTCGAGATCGAGGCGGCCTTCTCGGTCTAGCACCCCGGCGCGTCTCGCAGACGAACTCTTGAAAATGGAAGTTCCAAGCGACGTGAAGGATCCATTGAGAGTCCCGAGACCTTCTACCCCGTTACCTTCGATCTCATCGGTCGCAAAGGCACTGAAGATGACCCCAATGATTAACAAGACATTCGAAAAAAAGAGGTGAGCCTAGGCATGTGCTCCCAAAAAGCATATTCTGACTGGCGGGTAGTCCTAGCATGACCAGCGATTTGGATAGGCCCGAGAAACCTCCTGGCTTGACCTCCAAATTCTCAGTGCTGCACGGTGGACACCCACTCTCCCGATTCAAGGCACGGCGTGATCGTGATCGTGATGCCGATATCCTGCACAAACAGGCACTGACAAGAGTTAAGTCGAGCCCAGATGGCTGGTACAGTGCCGCGTCTGACACTGACAGGTAGTGTCTTTTCCTCTTCTCCGGAGTTCGGGCGTGGCTGACCTCCGCTTGTTCTAGTGGATCATCCATTGACAAAGGTAGTACCTCTGCTGAACATTCCGTTTCGTGGATCAAGAAGATCCCTACCAAGCTCGGGGGTGCTCTGCCTACCTTCGATGGGTTGAAGGCGGTGAAAAATGAGAAACCCAGAGTCGCCTTGGTAAAGATTGATACGATTTGAAGTCCCCATGATATTATTCCTTTGCTCGACGGATTATTTCGACTGACCATACCTACTCTAGCTAAATCATTATGGTATCCTAGATACTGCAAGCAACTATCATACTTTGTACATATCGACCGAAACTTCTACGCTTTTAAAGCAATACGCGACCTCAACCACCCCTCGGCACACATCTGATACCCCTCTTCCGCAAATTCCCAACCCTGGAGTGTATGACAGCAACTCCTGATCCCGACCCAGAAAAGATCACTAGACATCTGAATCATCACAACGTTCTCCCTGAGCTCCTTCAACGCACTCTTCGAAAGACACACCGTCCGAATCTGGGGCCTGAGCATGATTGCTTCACATAGCCAAACGAGATCGGCAGCGTCCTGGGTATCGATCGACAATTTTTTCAAGTGCGCCCACTGTGACTTCGATGCGGAGCAGTCGAGTCCCAGAGGCTCGGGCTGTGCGTTAACTAATCGAATCTCCTCGATCCGTCCGAAACTTAGCTCGTCAAAGTAGTCCGTATCAAGGAAGAATGACGGTCCCATGTTATGGATGCACACCCTGCGCAAGGCTGGAAGGGAAGATGGGGGAGGAAGAATATTGCCGAGGTCGACGAGGAGTTTACCGACATCCACCTCAAGATATTCCAGGCTCGGGGCTACTATCCTGGAGAGAACGTAAACGTAATCTCCTTCCACTAAATCATCGAATGTGCCGAGGTCAAAAGTGAGGGTGAGAGAGCGAAGCGACAGCAACGGGACGGATGACCTTGATTGCTGGACGATGGTGAAGATAGGAGTGGGTATGTGAAGGTTTCGTAGTTTCAGTTCCTCGAGGTTGGGGCAATACTCGACAATCTCGCGAAAGACGGCTTCGTTCAGCACGACGTTGCACATCTCGAGGTACGTCAATCGGACGAGGGGTCTTTCCGTAACAGCACCTAAAACTGTAACCCTCCGAAGATTAGGGGCTGACCAGAAAAAACAGCTCCAGCCGACGGGTTCTGATCGCATTGCTACTCGACGGGTCGAGGTGCAGGAGTTCTTAGTGTGGTGAATTTCAATCTCCTCGAGGACGGGTGCGTCGACGTGTTTGAGGGGATCAAAGAGCAAGGCGAGGTCGAGAGTGACTTCGTCGAAGGCGGTGATCGAGATCCGCTTCAGCCTCGAAGCGTGGGGTATTAGTGACTTCAACAGGCCGTGGAATTGGTATATCTCTCTGTGAATGTCTTCCTCCAGTTGGATATCGAGCTGGACTAAATATGGATTGGAGCGTTCAAGCCAGGTCTGTAACCACTTTGCGCTATTATATCGACGCTCGCAAAGGGCCTTGAATGGAACTCGAATCTCCTTGTAGAGACTAGGGGCCTTGGCGATGATATTCCAGCGCCGGTCGACTTGAGAGCAGAAGAAGAGGCTGGCGGGAAGGGTATCACGATGGAGTCGGTCTGTGGCATCAAGAGAAGCGGTTTCCTCTAGAATCTGAATGAGGATCTCTGGAGGCATCTTGTCCATGGAAGCAGGAGAAGAGGTGATGGTGGTCATGGCGTAGGATGGAATGAGGGGCTAGCTCCTGAGAGCTATCCCTCTAGCTCTCCGCAAGAGACACGGCCACATGTCATTCCAAGGACGCGTGGAGAAGACATGAGAGTTAATAAGCTCCCTATAGATTCCGCATTCCAATCCCCAGGGGAAACAGACCCCAATGTACGTTTCCTAAAGAAACACCGTCTCACGGATCCAACGTACTTGAAGAACGAAGCTCGCTGATGTTTTGAAATTGAGTTCTTGTGGCATCAATGCTAGTAAATGCTCCGAGGGTCGACCGTTGACAATACAGTATTCGCTGAACGAGCGAGTTGGCATGAAGTTTGAACAACTCACGAGAGAAGGTGACGGACTTATCGTGCGCTCACTCCAATCGAAATTTTGAATTCCTCCGGTGATTGCCGGTTACCATGCCTACTATCCACCTCAATAACTCAACCCAAAACCTTCCTCTTGACCTTGGCCTCGGCTAAGATGGCGAAAACCTTCAGCTTCAACCATTCCTACGCCCACACCTGTCTTTCTTTACTTGCTCACTTCGTCTATACCGATTTTGTGGCGGAACGATTCTTCCCCTTATTGCTTTCCCTAAAGGATCATTGGCTTGGCATTGAAGTCTGCTGTTCAAGTTCCCGCGCAATGAGCATTTTCTCCCTCAAGTAAACTTTTGAACAGTGAAAGTCCGCGACGAAGACCTCTCCCTCGGATTCGTCTTGGGGATGATTGTCGTGCACATTGGGCACATGGTGTAGGGGTTATCACATTCGCTTTGCATATTGTCTTGCGAAAGGTCTCCGGTTCAATTCCGGATGTGTCCATGTTTGGAAAGGGTTCCGAAGATGCTGTACTTTTTTCTCTCAGTGCGTGTCGAACACACCGGGATATCAGGGTGATTTTCGCCACATGAATGCTCGCATTGTTTGCTGTTGCCAAACCCGATCACTAGCTTTGACCAACAGCCTGTTGGTCAAAGCTGGCGATCGGGTTCCTATTCTAGTAACTTATGAGAAGAATGCGACAGTGGCACCGCCCCACCGATACCGAGCCACAACGTACTTAGGCAAGCAAACGCCTCAATTCTTCCCGCCACTGGCATCAATCAAAACATCCCCGCACACTCCTACGCCTCCACTTTTCCTACAACTCTCGAACTATGCCTGCTCCCTCAAGCACCCGCAATCTTCTTTGGCCTCAAATGCATGTCCCTCACTCGCATTCCACAATTCTCCAGAAGAACACGACAGAGATGACCCACGAAACGCTCATCGCGGTTCTAGAATACATGTCGTCTCTGCTTGAAGTCGAGTTTCGCGGTATCACTGTTCGACTAGTTGCTCATGGTGGCGCCTGCATGCTTCTACATCCCGGGCTCTACGACCTTGCACGGCGTAAACAAGCGTACCATATTATGCGAGGTGAAGCAGCACAGGTGCGCAAGACGACAAGAGACGTCGATTACATCCGAAGAGGATTCATCCAGGAATACGTCGGCAAATTCAAGATTTTGGATGCTGAGCAGAGATTACAGAGATGTATCTTGGGGACTGCTGCGAGGTTTGGTCTGGGATCGGATTGGATGAATGCTGACGCGGATGTGGCGTTACCCATGGCAAGAAGGTGTGTACTTTTTTTTTTCAAGACTAGGATCGAGGGTTCTGACGCTTCGAGCACATCCTAGTCAAACGGGAACACCCATCGATCCTATATATTACTCCTCTACGCAACAAAACAACGTCAACCTGTACACTGTCTTTACCTCAAAGAACAGGAAGCTCACGATTGTCAGTGTGACACCGGCTTGGGCGGTCGCGTTCAAACTCGCAAGATACACAAAGCTTGATCCACCGGATATCTGCCTCCTCTTGATGTGAGCATTGATTATACCCCGTTAAGTTCTTGTTGCTGATCGCGCTCCAGAAACGGCACGAAGCTTGCCAAGACTCGATGGACTCTCGAGGTTGTTTGGACATGGATAACAAAGGAATGCTCAGCCATGGGATATGCCTACTGGGATCAAGCAATATTAATGCAAATGCGAAGCACACCAGCGGAAGTCTGGGGACCTGGCCAGCGACTGACCAGGCCCAAAAGGTGCTACCAGGGTCCACAAGTCTAACGAGCCTGAGGATTGCCTGAAACAGCTTTCCTTTTCAGAAATTTGCTCGAAGACTTGGGGACCCTGGCCAGAATCGTTAGAATTCCGTGTACGTATAATATCATATTAGAATAGTACTTGTTCATCAGTAACCGAAAAGCACGCACAAGACTTGTCGAGGTTGATAAGATGCGGTAAGACTGGCGAATCCACGTAAGATCCCACGAGATTCGTAAGCCGTGACAAGGGGAGCTCAGACTGTGCAGCAATTGTCAGGCGCAATCAGACTTGGACGTACAGTCAGACATCCCCAATTCTGAGGGCACTGATATACCTTCGTGAACACATCAGACGCATATGAAGTAAGACGATGAAAATCTATTATCAAGGCTATCAAGTTACACAGAACTACAGCTCTACACTAAAACAATCAAAGCAATGTCCCGCGACGTGATCACCTCGAGCGACGTTAGCTCTAACAAATTAAGGTTTCAGTTGGTTGGATCAATGACCTACAACCAGGAGGACATACCTTGCTTACAAGTACTGAGGTTGACACGGCGGCGGGCCAGGATCGTGATGCGGGCATTGAGCTGTCGACAAGCAAACATGGAAGTGAACATGAATGAGCAATCGTCTCGTCGACCTCAGTCTTGCTCACCATGTATATCCTTGAGTTGTCGAAGCTCGTGATTGCGTTTGAACGTTGTGGCAACGGATTCCATTGGACTCAGGAGGCAACTTTGATCACCTGTTCAAGGTACTGAAGGATAGGTCATTCGTCAGTGAACCAGCATTTTCACCAAGAGGCATGGCGAGAACGTACATTGATGAGCTGTACTGTTGGTTCAGCACTGGAGCCGGGCGAGATCGATAGGGTTGCAATAAGGGGCATATCATGGTGTACAGTGGCTGAGGGTGATCATCCTGATAGAGGGTAAGTCAATGAAAACAGAGCGCATATAGTCATCAAGAACGTACATTTGACTGTTTTGGTTGCTACTAGATGACGATTGGGTTTAGAACGGGAGTTGGAATGAAAACATGAGTAACTGACCTGCAAAGACTTTTGGGTAGTCGCTTTTGTCGAGATGAACTTGACGACATAAATGGCGAGCCAAAAGTCAGAGGCGGAGGCATACCAGGGGCAAAGGATCGCACCGTAGAAGACAAGGTGTTGTCAATGGCGGGGAGACCAGTGTAGGCAGTGGTAACGAGGAGAGGGACAAGGAAGACGTATAGACGACGGAGAACATGGCGGTTAGAGGTAATGTACTAAAAGGAATATGAAGGGATCGCGGGGAGATGGTGGTGGAGGGGAAGAAAGAGCCAATGGGAACGGTGGGGCGTGTGGAGGGAGGGAAGAAAGGAGGGATCCCTGGATGTGTTCAGACGCGTCGGGTTTATATACCCCGCAGGGTGGTCCGTGCGATTATCGATATTCTTGAGAAAACGAATGACGTCGGTGACGTGTACATCGTCACCAACCACAACAGTGCAACGGTTCGCTGCACAGAAAGTAGGCCATAGGCCTGATCCTCGACGGTCCAAGCATCAGGTCGAGTCTGGTGGTCTGGTGAGGCCGAAACGTTTTGATTCATAGTAAGCTTGTTATGAGCGCAAGATCTGAAAGGAATGTAGCCATACTTGTCAATTCCAGGTCTTGGGAAGGGTTACGAGAGATGGGAAGAGGGCATGTTGAAGATTCCAAAGGTCGCGCACCGTCATTTTCATCTTCACCCTTACATTCCCTCCTTCCCGCTCTTTCAGCCCTCATAGGTTCTTCAAAGCGTTATTGGAAAGATATTGATGGAATTCTTGAGGCTTTGAACTTGCGAAGGGTGAAGAAGAGGGTTGACGAGCAGAGAGGTCAAAGCGAAGGTGGAGGTTGGAGGGAAAGAGGCGGGCGGATGGCAGTGCAGGCGCGTATCCCTGATAAGGAAGAGACTCTCACGCAATTCCAGCGCAAAGCGCCGGAGGAATTGCCGGAAAGCGGCAGAATTGCGTGGGAGTCGGACAATTATCCCGAGCGCCCCGATCAACTCTCTTTTCCCTGCTCTTGACACCCAATCACTACCCTCCACCACTGCGGTGTTGAGCGGCCCTCAACCCAGGTTCAATACTGTTTAGCAATATCATAGTAATCACGCAAAATTATGATTTTGTACTTTCAAATATTCAACTGAGCCCTAAATAATGGGCAGAAAGCCCCAACGTTTCACCTTCTCGCGAGTCAAGGCTACTGCAGATGTCAGCAACAACACTGACAATCAGAAGGATCACAAAGCTGTTGTTCATACGGATAGCAGGCCACCGTACCCTCTACATTATCTGATCGTGGTGTGAAGATCCTGATTCCCTCCCAGCAGTCCATGGTGACGACCAATCAGTCTAATGAGTCCTACCCATCCCCTGGCCAGTCGCTCACCAGGCTTGTGGCCACCTCCTCTGCGGCATCCATGATATGCTCAGCCTACGGTTTCATGGTAGTTTCCCATCATTCTGAAGCAACCTAACCAGCACCTGGTCAGCACCTCGCGAAGTAAAGTTATTCTAACGAGATATTATCAGTGTCTGATAATACTCTTTTCAGACGTGATCAGTCTAATGTTGTCTTGCCACACCCTCACGAGCGCTATCTAGTCTAACGGTATGTGCTCATACACTGTTCAGGCTTTGTTATTCTTATGTACTATCTACAGACACTGACAAGCATCTACAAGACTCACGTGTACTCGCCAGTGCCACAAGGCGCTGGTCAGATCGTCATAGTTCCGCTGGTGCAGGATAGAGCACGCCGTTCTGCTGGTCAACTCAACCATGATGCCCCCTTGAATTGTCCTTCGCCCACACTGAAGTGGCTTTCAAATGGACGGGAATCCTCACTGAGGACTTTACTCAACCCGTACTATCTACTGTGTACTCACAGCGCGTTACTCGCGCGACGCGATCGGTTGCTCTGTGCACGACAATATTCTATAGAAAATCTATCAGAGTGTGTACTGATGGAATAAGAGCTCAATGACCATACACCCACATGAGACACAGACTTTTTGCGTCCGTGATAAGTCCAAAGTAAGTGAGATTGAGATGGGTGGGTATAACGAGGAGTCTCTTCCTGAGATCCAACGCCAGAATAGGAATGATGGCAGAATTCCAATAATTCAACGAGAAGACCATCTCTACTGTTATCCCTGCCCTCCGATCCTAATTGCGCTTGTTTGTGCGTTCCTTTTTCTGTGGTGGTCTGCTCAGGGCGCGTCTACATCAGGTGATCGCGTATTACAATAGTCACGTGGAGTTCTAATTTTCGTTTGGTTTTTTCAGGTTTTTTCCCCTCAGTCCCATCCCTCGACCCAGATTATCGCGGTCTCTGGCTCTACCACACGTTCGGATTGCGGCAACATTCCGTCTCAAGCAATGGTCACATTATACAGGTCGCACGCCTCAAGATTCGTGAAACGGTCCCTTTCCATGACAATAATTACACTGTTTGTATCACTTCGTTCAGGAGTCACGAGCACCCTCAGTTTACTTCGCGAAATAGATATCCCCGGTTTCGCCGCAGAAGCTACAACGAACCATGAGAAGACTGGCCATACCTCGATCGTTAGTGCTCACCCGACGTTATTTGCTCCCGGGTTCTCCAAGAAACTGACGCATCGTCATTAACAGGCGAAACCTCCAGTCGAATCGACTCACATATAACCTCTGTCACTTTTC